TTGGTTTTTCGAGACAGGGTTTCTCTGTGTAGCCCTGGCTGTCCTGGAACTCACTCTGTAGACGAGGCTGCCCTCGAACTCAGAAATCCACCTGCCTCTGCTTCCCAAGTGCTGGGATCAAAGGCATGCGCCACCACTGCCCAGCTTTTTATTTTTATTTATTCTTTATTTTTTATTTTTTACCAACTAATATTCTTAACTCTAAAAAAAAAACCCCAAAACTATTGAATGTGGATGAAGAGATGGGTCAGTTGATAAAATGCTTTCCAGGCAAGCATGAGGATCTGAGTTTCTATCCCATATTGAAAGCCTGTGTGATCCTCTCACCAGAAAGGCAGAGACAGAAGGCCCTGGGGCTTGCAAGCCACCAGTCTAGTCCATTCAGCAAGCTCTAGATCTAATGACAGATCCTGTCTTCTAAAATAAGGTGGAAATCAACTGAGGAACAAATCTAATGTCAACTTCTGGCCTCCAAACACATGCACACACTATCTCCAAAAGATAAAGACTATGTGTGTGTGTGTATATATATATGTAATATATGTGTATATATATATACACATATATTATACTGTATCATATATAATTATATGTTAAATAATTATATATAATTTAATATAATACATTATATTTAATAACATATTGTACATTATATATGTTATATGATGTGTAAATGTATATTGTATAATTTATATATTATATCATATCATATATATTACATAATATAATATATCATATTATATATACTATAATAATAAATACATAATCTATATTTGTATATGATAGGGTCTCTATATATAGTTCTGGCTGGCCTAGAACTTGCTTTATAAAACAAGCTGGCCTCAAACTCACAAAGATCCACATGTCTCTGCCTCTTGGGTGCTGAGATTAAAGACTTGCATCACCACACCTAGCCCTTCTTTTTATGATATATGTGTGGTCAGGGCTGGGGATGTAACTCAGTCGATAGAGTATTTGTCAGAATGCATGAAACTCTTGGTTCAATTCCCAGTATCACATAAACCAGGTATGGTGGTACATGCTTACAAATACAGCATTTCAAAGGTGAACATGTGACTATTAGAAGTTTAAGGATAGTCTGAAAAACAGCAGACCTTGCCTCAAAACAAATGTATCTATAAACATATTGCAATCATAATCATGCTTTTAAAAATCATACTATATTCTTAAATTTCATCAAATATGCAAAGTTTAAACATCAAATTGCCTTATAAATGTCTTGATGTGGCATGTCCATTCATTCATTTATTTATTTTGAGTCATGGTCTCAAACTCTATTTGGAACTGAGGCTGACCTTGAACTTCTGATCCTCCTGCCTCTACCTCCCCAGTACTGGAATCTCACAGGCATTCACTAGCACATCTTTCTTAGGCAGTGTTGGGGCTAGAACCCAGGGCCTCATGCACACTAACTAAGCACACTACCAAGTGAGCTACAGCCAGACTTCCTTTTTTTTTTTTTTTTTTTTGGTTTTTCGAGACAGGGTTTCTCTGTGTAGTCCTGGCTGTCCTGGAACTCACTCTGTAGACCAGGCTGACCTCGAACTCAGAAATCCGCCTGCCTCTGCCTCCCAAGTGCTGGGATTAAAGGCGTGCGCCACCACCGCCCGGCCAGACTTCCTTTTTTTAAAAACTATCTATTTATCTTATTTGTTTTCAGATAGACTCTCTCTGTAGCTCAAGCTCTCCTTAAACTTGAGTCAATTCTCCGACCTGAGTCTTCTTCATGTTCTGGAATCACCATCATGAGCCACCACACTCGGGTTGTAAATGTCTTTTTTAAGCAGGTAGAGAGGCAGGCAGGACAGGGTACCTGCAAGCTAGACCAAACAGATGGTGGTCAGCAGCCAGCTGGGAAGACACAGTCACCGCAGCCAGCTGGGAAGACACAGTCCCTGAAGAAGGACCTCAGCCTGGAAACGTTGCTGGAGCCCCTGAAGGTGAGCATCGTAGGCTCAGGGAACTGGGCATCAGCAGTTTCAAAAATCATTGGGAACAATGTGAAGACCATGAAGAAGTTTGCTTCCCCAGTCAAGATGTGGGTATTTGAAGAAATAGTCAATGGGAGGAAACTGACAGACATCATCAACAGTGACCACGAAAATGTAAAGTACCTGCCTGGACACAGGCTGCCCGAGAACGTGATGGCCACCCCGAGTCTCAGCCAGGCTGTGCAAGATGCAGACCTGCTGGTGTTTGCTTTCCCACATCAGTTCATTCGAACCATCTGTGACGAGATTGCTGAAGTAGTGCCCAGGAAGGCCCGAGGCATCACCCTCATCAAGGGCATAGATGAGGGTCCCGAGAACCTGAAACTTATCTCTGACATCATCCGAGAGAAGGTGAACATAGACATCAGCGTGATGATGGGGGCCAACTTAGCCAACGAGGTGGCCGAAGAGCAGTTCTGTGAGTCCACCATTGGCAGCAAGGTGCTGCAGAATGGCCTTCTCTTCAAAGAGCTGTTTCAGACCCCCAACTTCCAAGTCACTGTGGTAGAGGATTCAGACACAGTGGAGCTGTGTGGGGCTCTAAAGAACATTGTCGCCATGGGGGCCGGCTTCTGTGACAGCTTCTGCGGAGGAAACAGCACCAAGGCTGCTGTCATCCGCCTGGGCCTCATAGAGATGATTGCTTTTGTCAGGGTTTTCTCCAAGGGCCAGGTGTCCACAGCCACTTTCCTGGAGAGCTGCGGGGTGGCTGACCTTGTCAGTACCTGCTATGGGGGGCGGAACCGAAAGGTTGCAGAAGCCTTCGCCAGGACTGGAAAAAGCATTGAGGAGTTGGAGAAGGAGATGCTGAAGGGACAGAAGCTGCAAGGGCCACACACCTCTGCCCAGGTGTACCACATCCTCAAGCAGAAGGGGCTGTTGGACAAGTTTCCGCTGTTCACAGTTGTGTATCAAATCTGTTTCGAGGGCAGACCAGTCACAGAGCTGATACCTTGTCTACAGAACCACCCAGAGCACAGGCAAAGGGAACAGGGGGCAGGTACAGCTTTACCTCACCTATCTCAGGATCACACGGAAACCAAGACGTGACAATGAGATCGTTACCTGGCTTTCTCCCATCTTGGACACATATGAATTAGTATGGCTTCATTTCTGGGTCATGAGAGATAGCTCACTGACGGATAACACTGGGTAACAACTACACATACACAGTGAATGTGAGAAAAACAGAGCAAAGGAAAAGAAAATACAGTTTGATAGTTGAATCAGGATCCCAATGAGATTCAGTGTTGTTTCTTTGTGTCTGTGTGTGCATGTGTGTCAGTGTAGCAGGCGGGGGAAGCATATGAGTCTTTGTGGGTGGGATATGTGTTTATGAAAAAGTTCATGAATTGTGCATGAATGAGAGCATGGTGTGTATGTATGTGTGTGTGTGCATGTGTGTCAGCTGGGGGCATATAGGTCTTTGTTGGTGGGATATATGTTTACGTACACACATGTGTGTGCGCATGAACAAGTGCATGGTGTGTGTGTGTGTGTGTGTATGTGTGTGCAGGAGCTGAGTCATCTGTTAGTGTCCTCCATACCTTGCTGGCTTTCCCACTCTAATGGTGACATGCTTCCCCATGCTCTCCCCTGTATGACTTGTGTGTCATCAACAACAGTTAACTCTCAGCAATGGAATAGTTCCTTCAGCATTCAATTTTGTTGTACTGGCTTGTTTGCTTTGTTTTGTTTTGTTTTGTTTTGTTTTGTTTTTTTGTCAACTTGACACAAACTAAGTCACCTGGGAAGAGGGAGCCTTTGCAGAGGAAGTGCCTGCATCAGATTTTCCTGCGAACATGTCTGTGGTGCATTCTCTTGATTGATCTCTGATGTGGGAGGGTCCAGACCACTATGTGTGGTCCCATCCCTGGGCTGGTGGTTCTGGTTTGTTTAAGAAAGCAGGCTGAGCAAGTCGTTAGGACCAAGCCAGTAAGCACCGTTCCTCTACTGAACCTGCTGGGTCCCTGCCCCAACTTCCACAATGAGGGGCTGCAATCAGGACAGAAGCTAAGGAACCCCTTTCATCTGTAATTTGGTTTTGGTCAGTATTTTATCATAGCAACAGAAAGAAAACCAGGACAGAAATTGGTACCAGACACAGACTTATTGTGGCAGACTTGGTCATATTGTTTTGGGGAGAATTGTGGAACATTTGGAAAGGCCACTGAGTACTCAGCATGGGAAATTAAACTGAGAGTCCTGGCCTGTGACGGTTTAGAGGGAAGCAAAGACTCCATTGGCGGTTTGTCAGGTGACAGCAGTGCAAGGCTTTTATTTATTTATTTATTATTATTATTATTATTATTGGTTTTTCAAGACAGGGTTTCTCTGTGTAGTCCTGGCTGTCCTGGAACTCACTCTGTAGACCAGGCTAGCCTCGAACTCTCGAACTCAGAAATCCGCGTGCCTCTGCCTCCCAAGTGCTGGGATTAAAGGCGTGCGTCACCACCGCCCGGCATGCGCAAGGCTTTTAATTCCAGCACTCGGGATGCAGAGGCAAGTGGATCTCTGTGAGCTCGAGGTCAGCTTGGTCTGTAGAGTTCAAGGACAGCCAGGGCTATACAGAGAAACCCTGTCTCAAATATACATATAGACATAGATACAGATGACATAGAGATGACATAAATTTAGATATATTACTGGGGTAAAAATCTTTTGAGAAAGTATTTCCTCAGGATCAGAATACAGAGGGTGCCAAGGCTGCATCTCTGGCTGGTGGCTAAAGTTGGTAATTTATAAGAGTCTCCCACATGTTCCTGGTTTTAAAGGGGGGGGTCATGGAGAGCAGTTGAGGCTTGGCACGGTGTTGTAGAGTTGGAATCCCTGAAGAGAGGCTAAGAGAAACCCCTGGTAAAGGTGAAACCTCAGTTATGAAGATCTCAGGGTGTGAGGTGTCATGTGGAGAAGCTAAGGCACCACGTGACAGGATCAGAGTCACTGCAGAGGCTAGGTGAGGCCATTGTTGAACATGCAGCCTCAGTTGGTGTTAAGACCTCAGCGTATTGTGGATGCCAGGACTATGGAATAAACCACCAAGGACAGTGGCAGGTGTAGTGTGGAGCTGGCCTGAGCCTATCAGACTTGTTGTACATGCTATAGATGGCAGAAGTAGAGAGGTGGGCCTATCCAAGCCCTTTGGAGACCAGATAATTTGTAAGTTCCTGGACATCAGACACTGAACTATTCAAAATGGTTGGAGTCTAGTTTTGCTCTGATCTGATTGTGACTGTGTCCTTATGATTCTTAGAATAAGAAGGATGCTAGCTTTCTTTTAAGCCCAAAGTTAAGAGACGGTGGGTATTTTAGAGACATTGGATTTTTATAAAGTGTTGAAATTTTTGAAAGACTGTGCCTCTTTCTCCCTGCCCCACCCTTGCTTTTTTTTTTTTTTTTTGAGACAGGGTTTCTCTGTGTAGTCCTGGCTATCCAGTAATTTTCTCTTGAGACCAGGCTGGCCTTGAACTCAGAAATATGCCTGCCTCTACCTTTTGAGGGATTATAAAAGGGCACCACCATGCCCATCTGACTGTGAGACCTTAAAGTTGGACAATGTTTCATACTGTGATATTAACATGAAATCTTCAGGGTAAACAAGAAAGGAAAGGTCAGCTGGGCAGTGGTGGCGCACGCCTTTGATCCCAGCACTTGGGAAACAGAGGCAGGTGGATTTTTGAGTTCGAGGCCAGCCTGGTCTACAGAGTGAGTTCCAGGACAGCCAGGGCTACACAGAGAATCCCTGTCTCGAAAAAAACAAAAATAAATAAATAAATAAATAAATAAATAAATAAATAAAGAAAGAAAGAAAGAAAGAAAGGAAGGAAGGAAGGAAGGAAGGAAGGGTCATAGTTTAGTAGTGATATGTGTGTCAAGCTGACAAAGGAGCGATTATATGGTTAGTTTTTTTGTCAGTTGAACACTTGGGAAGAGGGAGCCTCACCTGAGGAATTGCCTTCATCAGATTTGCCTGTGGGAACATCTGTGGGGCATTTTCTTGATTGACAGTTGATATCAGAGAGCCCAGACCACTATGGGCTATGGCCATCAGGCAGGTGGTCCTGGATTGTATAAGAAATAAAGACAAGAAAGCCATGAAGAGCAAGTCAGCAAGGTAAGCAAGGTTCCCTCATGGTTCCTGCTTTTCTACCTGCTGGAGTCCTTGCCTTGAACTCTCTTTATGATGGACAACAACTGTAAGCTGGAATAAACCCTTTCCTCCCCGAGTTGTTTTTGGCCATGGCGTTTATTCCAGCAGTGGAAAGAAAATAAAGGACAGAGGTCCTCAGGCTTTGATTATCTTCTTATCGCTCCTTTTAATTGATATGAGAGAAGGAGGAAGCAGGGCCCTTGGAGCCCTCTCTCTTCTTTCCCAAGCCTTCACCGCTGTTTCTCTACACTCACTTCAATGAAGAGCAATTAGATTGTTTCTCAGTTCTTCTCCTCTATCCTAGCATGACAGACCCACTGGCCTGCAGACCGAGGAGGAACGGGTTGATACGGTAACAGACTGCACCACTCTGCAGCTGTCCTTGTGGGTAACTGGTTCCCACTGGTGAGAGAGCTACCACTCCAACAGTGAAACTTTTCTGGTGTCCACCAACTCATGTGGCCAGACTGAGGTGGGATGGGGACAAACTGTCTTGACGGGGAACAGGGGGTGAAGGCACGGTGTTGAGTGTGTAGGTTTCTCAGTCTGGCAAACCTGATCTCAAACAACTTCACCACTGAGTCATCTACACACCGAGCCAGTCACTTTCTCTCTCATAATCTCATAATCTGAGGTTTGTGGCTCCCAAACACCCCAGGACCTAACAGCTTGGGCCTTGCCAGCTTGGAAAAAGGTTTTTGCGGTCAAGATTAAGTTAAGGACATTGTCACGGAGAGATTAGTCTGGATTGCCCAGGTGGATTTTACATGTCACAAAGAATGGCCTTGAAAGATGCGCCAAAGGGAATCTCTGTCTGTCTCTGTCTCTATCTCTCTCTGTCTCTCTCTGTCCCTGTTTCTCTCTCTCCTATCACACACACACACACACACACACACTGTAAGATATTTACAGATGAAACAATGAGATGAACAGGGTCTCAGGCTGAGGTCTAGGAAAACTGGGTTAGCCTTTTCACCATACTATTCTGTCTGCTTTTGTATATATAAGAATTTCTCCTTGGAAAGCGATGCCTCCCCATTCGAGGGCAGAATTTGCTTGAGATTTGCTGCAGCGGTCTGCGCGGGCTCTGGCGCCACCTGGCGTCAGTCCCGGGAATGACATCCTGGGGCGCTCCAGACCCACTTGGCGCTGCTTGGCTTTTTCACCAGCCAAGTTGAAACGAGGAGGCAGCTGCAGCCTCAGGCCCACTCGGTTCTGCCCGGCACCATAGAAGCCTCTTTGGCACCCTGGCCCAGCCACGTTCTCCCAAGCGCATCTGATCCTCAGGCCCCGTTGCCGGCTGAACCAGCATAACTCTTTCCATCCCAGTATCTGAAGACTTGCTTCCCCCCCCCTGCCCCCCCCCCCCCAGACAAGGGCTCTTTGTATATCCTTGGCTGTTCTAGACTTGGCTGTTCTGTAGACCAGGCTGGACTCAGACTCTTCAAACTCCATCTGCCTCTGCCTCCCAAGTGCTGGGATTAAAGACGTGCACCACCACCGCCCAGCAGAAGACTTGGTTTTGAGTAGATCTGATTTGGCACAAAGACTGTGTCTTCTTTTCAGTTTACCTCATAGCCTCCGACTCTGTAAATCTGAGGGGAGACAAAAGCAGAAGATAAATCCATGATATACAAATTGGAATTTTGGAAACAAAGATAATGATTTTAAAAACAGGAGATAAAATTAAAAATAAGACATCTCTAAAATATACAAAAATTTCCCAGAACTAATTATCTTAAGAGTGTAGATTGAAAAAAATGGAAAAAAAAAAAGAGTGTGGATTGAATTTGTCCCTGCCAGGCGGTGGTGGCACACACCTTTAATCCCAGCACTTGGGAGGCAGAGGAAGGCAGATTTCTGAGTTCAAGGTCAGCCTGGTCTACAGAGTGGGTTCCAGGACAGCCAGGGCTATACAGAGAAACCCTGTCTCAAAAAACAAACAAACGAACAAAAAAAACAAAAAGAGAGAAGAAAAGTCCTGGACAGTACTCTGTAAAAAAGACTCATTACATGGCATGTGACAGTGACATTTTGAGTAGTTGCAACCTACCTACAAGTGAACAAAGTACAGTCTGCTAG